ATGAAAAAGGGTTCGATAGATAATAGATTAATCAGTCATTCAGGAAGTAATACCCCATGATCATATAATATTCGGATATATCAAAAAGGTATTCAAGAACTATTGTATAAGAAATATTTAAAAAATCAGATATCCCCATAGTGATTTCATCAATCAAAATTTATAAGGTCATTTTAGTTATTCGATTTTCTAGGAAAATTGTGATAATTCAGTTTAGTAAGGATAAACAACGATTTGCAATATTTCCGATTTCAAGTGTTTTATTTGACTTCCAAGTCCAATCGAACTGAACAGATCTCAGCAATACGATATCGAGTATACAGGTAGATGAATTTTACAAATATGCACTTCTTAATACCAATTGCACCTTCGAGCTGGACTGATCACTTTAAGAATCATCATCGTACGAATCTTGAGGAGACAAACATGTATTTAAGCGGTATTTATCTCATTCATGTATTGTAACAACATCAGGGTTGGTCGACTTACTTAGGTTGTGCTCTATAACCATTTAGAGTGGTATACCATTTAAGTCATATTGGTACTCAAGGTTAATTTAGCCATTTCAGAACTCAAAGGTATTTTGGTCATTCTGGAGTTCAGGGGTAATTTGGTCATTTTCTTTCGATCAGTCATTTCATCATGTCCGATAACTTGATTTTCAGATGTTTGTTTAGGAACCAGATGTTCTAAGACTTCCGCTATCACGGAGGTTAGAAATTGATTACTACAACTTTCCCGAACATATCAATAATTTAATAGATGAATCTGAGTTTATTAGGTCGAAGACAAATTCTCAGGTAAAATTCTATTAACATGGTGAGTTCATGTCCATTTATACACCTCAAAGGTGTTTTCGTAAATTATTACCCAAGAATTTCTGGCGTCAATACTTTCAACAAGAATCATCAAAATTTAAGGATTTCAATGTTAATTCCTTAATATTTTAATCACCAAAATTGAAATTGTTATTTATCGATCTTCTGGATCCTCTACGATTCAAACAAGTCTTAATAAATTTAATATCCTTTTAATCCTTCAGTACAAGTTTAAGAATAATCATTAGGATTTATCAGACCAACATTCTAAATCATGTATTAACCAATTACCAACATGAACCATAAAGTATACATAAGGTAGTAAAGTATTACCTTATTTTTCGAGCTATATTGGTCGGTCATTAAAACTTCATTCGATCACCCTTGAACTTGAATTCTGTTGAAAACATTTTGATGTTTCGATATAACAAATTAAGTATAAATGAATTTTAAGATTTTACAAATGATTTTCTAAGTATATTCGATTTAATTAGTCGAATATCAAATTATTACTCCAAGTCTTTCAAGATCAATTTCAAACCTTACTAAATGTGTAAAATTGTGTTTTATACTTAATATATTTTTGAAACAATTTTCATAAAGTATTTTGAACCAAAATCAAGCCTAAAATCAATTTTTCAAAGTGATGCACCGATCCATGCATCGATGCACCATGGAATAAATTGAACATCGAATGCATTTCATGCATCGATGCACATACCATGCATCGATGCACTCATGGTTATCGAATGCATTTGATGCATCGATGCACCAGCCATGCATCGATGCACTCAGGCTTTTTCAAAACATCGAATGCATTTTATGCATCGATGCACACTTAGTGCACCGATGCACTAAGTGTTCCAATGGTCAAAATATTTGAATTTTACACTTGATGCACCGATGCACCCTGTGTATGCATCGATGCACGCACGCTCCCAACCAGTTTTATTAATTATTTTCACACTTAAACGATTCTATTGACTCCACTAATCATCCCCAATGTTCAGAATCAATTGAAGGATTATTTAAACAAGCTTAGAAACCATTGATCAACAACAAGAAATAACAAGAAACAAGAATCAAGTGAGAATTAAAGAGAAAGCATCAAACTCATTGTTTGAGCACTTCAAGCCTATTTTTCATTCAATATTCATTTTGCTTTCAAGAACACTACTTGTACTCGATTGTATTCATTCTTGAGCGTTCTTTTCTTTGTTCTAGAATTGTGCAAACAATCTAACTCGTGAGGTTTTTCCTTGTAAGTTTGCAAATTTGTGTATTTCTTTTTGAGAAAGAGTGTTCTCAAGAATTGGGGTATATTCTTGAGGGAGTTGTAAGGTTATCTCTTTGGCCTCAAAAGAAAGAACAAATTAGTGAATTTGTTGGAAAATCCTTAGTGTGGATAGCTAAGGTAGTGGACGTAGACTTTGGTTGAGAAAGTCGAACCACTCTAAATCGCTGTGCAATTTCTTTCAATTTTCTGCAAAAGCTTCCACCAACTTTTTAATTGCCAATTCACCCCCTCTTGGCCGATTCCGTCAATTGATTAACTCAACAAATTCAACATCCCAAAATATTGAGTCTGAATTTGGAGAAACGAACTTCGGATTTAGACTCAAGATGTCGAAAAACATAATATATGACTTTTCGGAAAAAGTTAACTTTTTGGTCAAAGTCAACCCAAAAGTCAATGGTTAACCGAGTCAACAAATCAGGGCACATGTCAGAACTGGTTCAGATTAGGCCTGACCTGGTTGGTTCAGATTTTGGACTAGCATATTGGTTCAGATTTGGGCTCACACAAAGGTTCACAAGTCTTGGGCCTCCACTCACACACTATCAACCCAAGACCACAACCCATCTTCTATGTATTGGATTTATGGTTTCTAGAGCCTTTCGTAGTGGCGGTGCGATGAACGTAGATGGGGATGACGACAGTGGCATGATCGATAGTGACGACAATGACCCAAGGGACATTTCTGGTTGCAAGTGGTCGGGAAGCACAAAGATGATGACAGTGAGACGAACTAACGATTGTGGTAGTCGGAAATCATGACAACGTTGAGGTTATCTCATTTTCCAATGAAGCTTTCGAGGTTGGGTTATGGTCAGACGAGGGTTACGCCTCAACTGGAGAGGGCAGTGTGGAGCTACACTGACTCGATCGACCGTAATCGACGAATTTCAGTGGCGCAATGCTAGGGATTTTGACGAAACATTTGAGTGCTTTCTCAAGGCGATCGACGATGATTTTTGATGAAAGACAAAAAGGGTTTTGGTCGGAGAAGGCAACAATCTCGGTAGTGGCAGTGGTGCACTCCACGACGATCAGACGTCGAGGAATTGAAGACAGTGAAAGCGTCGGGTGGATAGGAATTTGGGGGTTTTAATTTGGGGATTTGGATTCTTACAATATGATCTTGGAGGAGATGGTTTTGGGATTTAAAAATCGAATCAAATTGTTATAAACAAGTATTTCTCATTTTGATGCCCTAGCCTAGTGGCTAAAGCATGGAAGGCCATAACCTTAGGGTCATGGGTTCAAACCTCCCCGCCACCAATTTATTTATTTATTTTTCCTATGGTTAGAAATGATTGGTAAATTCAAGGTTAAGTCCTTGAACTGATTTAAAGTTTTCAGAGCCACCCCAAATATCATAAATTTAACAATTTGGTCCCCAATTTTCTTTCAATTGACTTTCAAATTTTAATACTTCTTAATTTAATCCTTTGATTAAATTTGGAGTGTTACACTTCTACCCATAGATAATGGCGGATTAATTATAGAAATTTTTTTTTGAGGTGGGTATTAATAAATTTTTCAGAGTAGGCACCAATAGTAAAATGAACCACTGATATAAAAAATTCTGATTTCTGGGTGAGCACATGGCCACCCTAGACATGCTTTGCATCCACCATTGCCCATAGAGGGGTTGGTTATCATTTGGATAGCTTCCTTACAGTCTGATTCTGCGCATATCCGACTATAGCCTAATTTCCATGCGTAGCTGAGGCCTTCAAAAGTGTCCCATAGTTCCGCCTCCAAGCTCGAGCAGATGCCTATAAACTTTGAAAATCTCATGGTCCATTTGCCTAATCGTCCCTGAGTAAATCCCCACACGATGTTCCTCCGTCTGTAGAGTTTTTTGTTCCATCGGTGTTTACTTTGATCCAACCCGGTGTTGGTGGTACCCAGTGTATATTGCGATGCACCGGCTGGAATCTTAAACTTGAGTTTGCAGTACTGAGTCCTCTTTCTTGTGCAGCCGTTAAGATCAACTGTCTGCTTTGCTCTAATATGGTTGTTTGTAATGAATCAGGGACGAAATTTTCTGTCTTTTTTCTTTGATCGAAATATTGCATTGATTATTAAGATTAGTTCATAAAATTTATATTATCATTTTTTTATTTTACTCAAAAAGTATATTACATGCAATAATAAAAATATATCACATATCACATTCTTATCAAAATTTTTTTTTTTTTGAATGAATTGAGAATAAATTGACAGCTTAAGTTTTATTTTTTAACACACAAAAATCGATTTGAGTATCGTACTATAATTCAAGAACCAATCCGCTAATAAAGTCATCTTCCAACTCAACCGTGACTTGACTGAAAATAATACTTAATTTTGTTGCCTAAATTATTAATAAAGTAGTAATAATTTATTTTTTGCGCTTTAATTGTCTATTATTCACATTACAAAATGTACCATGTACAAGACTGCATCCATTCCAAGATTATGCATAAATCATAAATCATCTCCAGTATACACTACCGATCTATTTAAGCTTTAACTTTACAAGCATAACCTAATCTCCTTTTTTTAGTCCATGGGTTCTAGAGATATGAAATGAGTGAGCTCAAGTACTGTTTCTTTATAAAAGCCAGCAAAAATGACGGGACAAAATTCATACTACGTACAGAAACTTGAAGTATATGTAACTAATATGATTTGTCAAGAACGGTTTATTTCTATGGTCTACTATACCTCCCCTCCCCCTACCTCACAGCTGTCTTGTATCCACCTTGGCTGCCATTTCGAAGACCACCCCGGAACAAAAACCAAAACGGAAATGAGATTTGAATGTTCAAAATAGGGTACAAGTCAGACTGATGTAAAAGAGTTCGTTAACCTGATTGAAGCAAGCATTTGAGACGAATATCCGAATCCTGCTGTTAATAGACAAAACAAGATAGCATATCGGCTAGGCAAACTCAGCACAATCAAAGCAAGCAAATTCATCTTTCTACGTTCAAATGTTTGTAGTTTCTTCGCCAATATGAACATTTACCCTGTTAATGTCGTACCCAATACCATCAGAATATGCAACTTTTTTTAAGATATCAAATAAGCTTAATCTATTCCATATTTGGGAGAGAAGTAAAGCAAACACACACACACAAAGCATTTGAATTAATACAAAAATTAGCTGAAGAAATAAGAGCCAATGTTTTCAATATTACATATTCTAGAGATGATAAAACTATAATTCCACCATAAATTTCAGTAAACTAGGATGAAAGTCATGGGTGTTTTGTTAGGCATATAATAAGCAATTTCAGTTTTTTGTACAAGATAAATAAGGCGCTTTTACTCTGGACCAGGCCAATCAGATAATTGAACAAAGAGAAATTGCAATTTCAGTTTGGAAAGTTTTGATAACAGCTTTTGTTGTTGGCAATAACAAAATAGATTATATCAACAATTCCCAATTATTCAGGAATATGTTGAACCTATTAATAATATATATGATCATAATATGAGATAAGTTTCCACTTCCCACTATGTTTTGTTTCTGTTTTGTGCTTTGTTTTTAATCAAATTGGTTCAAATGTCCATCGTGCCATCTAAAAGGAGAGCACTCGGAAATAATTCGAACACTGCCTACTGTCACCAAATTCCTCTCCTACACTAACAGTTAAAATTCATTTTTATTTTCCTAATGAAAATTACCATTTCTTTTCCAAGATATTAGGAACTTACAGATAAGTCTCTCTCTTTTAAATGCTCCAAGGACTTAGCAAGTTCTACTTGTTTTGATGCAGTTGTAAATAATGCCTACAAAAAATGTCATTGTTCAGTCACCAGAATATACAAAGGCAGAAAGCCGGTTGCAAAAAAAAAGAAAAAAGGTAATTGTAGAAACTAGAAAGAGGTCTTACTTTCTTTGTTTTCTGTAAATCTTGTTCAATGGATTTATTACGATTCAATGACTTCAGAAGCATGTCATCTTTTGCAGGAGGAATGGTTGCAGGTTTGTTATAAAGCTCAGTTACCAAAGTTTCTAAATTTTGTAGCCTATGCAAACATGAATGGAGTGGGTCCCTTTCTGCTTCTGTTAAAATTCCATTTTCTATAAACCCTGAACCTGTCATCTGGCAATTCGAATGGTTTTCTGTTTGTCGTTTTGAAACTTGTTCTTCTGTTAAAATTAGCATTGCCATTTAGTTCTTTTAGTGCTAAGAGAGAGGAGATAATGATCTTATTCAATAATGAGAAGTCAGCATCACTAGAAGCCCTAAAGAGTCAAAACTTGGCATGTTGAATGAATACAACTACACAAGTTCAAAACTATAATGGACAGTGAAATCAGATATATATTGCAGGATTCCTTGTCAAGATCAAGCCTTGCTAATTACGGAAGTTTGTCCTGCACATGGTAGCATATGTTATTGTTAGAGCTACTACTTTTACTTTATGCCGACTTTACTGGTCTATGTGATAGTTTTTTTTTTATAAGAATTTCAGACCTCGTTAAAAACCCCCTTCTTGATTAAAGGAGCTTATAGAGAAGTTCCTTAATCAGCGGAAGGAGAAAAAGAGTGCCTTAGGATATTATTGAACAAAAGAAATTACATAAGATACAACCTACAAAACACCCCCATGAAAAACATAAATACACCCATAGTGAACAACACTAAATCAGCCAATTCCTTCTTTAGCTAAGGTGTCAGCCTCTAAATTGGTTGTCTTATTTACCCATCTAACAACACCATGTAATACATCGAGCCTATGAACAATATCTTTAACCATAAAAGCATAAACATCAGGACATAATTCCACCTCCTTAACCCAATCCACTGCCACCTTGGTGTCATTTTCAATAATCAAACGGTCCTTGAAGCTCTCTCAAAAATCAGCATAGAACACCAACCCCTTCTGAATAGCTTTTAATTCCATATAGGTCGGAGGCCCCAGACCAGCAATTTCCTTGAAAAAGCCTAAGGTCAACCCTGTGAAATCCTTTAAAACTCCTTCTATCCCACTCTTCTTCCAATCTCTAGTAGTAGTTGCGTCAACATTAAGTTTTACAAAACCTTTAGGAGGAGGGGGACCAAGGAGAAACAGAAACAATCTGTTTGGCATTAAAAGAACATGAGTCCCCTAAGGAATGATCTGAAATAAGAGAATCTTTAGGGATAGAAACCTTTTTGTGCTTTGCTAGGAACCAAGAAGCAAGCCTAAACCTTGGTAAGAAGAAATATTCATTCATATCTAACTTCCCCCCCTCAAACACAATTACATTCCTTATTTTCCAAGTTGTCCAAAGGACGACCCCTAGAATTAAAGACCAAATTGGAGAGTTAGTCTTCATAGCAGCCCAAGCAAGAAGAAAGCTTTTCGCATTATCATGAAAACAGTCTTTATCCTCCAGAAATTCAGAAATTTGTTCCAAATAACCCAAACCACCGAACACGAGAAAAACAAATGTGAGGAAGACTCATCCTCCAACTTTCAAAGAGGACATACCACGTCTTCAATACCTTGAACACCTCTTTTAACAAGTTCTATCTTAACAACCAGCTTCCCTAAAACAACCTGCCACATAAAAGACTCCACTCTTGGCGGCAAATCACCCCTCCAAATAATCTTCTTCCAAAAGTGGAAGTCCTCCGAACCCAAAGAATCTGATGAATATAACTTCATACCAGAATTTACAGTGTATACCCCATCCCCAGTACCTTTCCAAATCATCCCATCAGAAATCTCCATTGATAATGAAATAGAGGAAATGACAGCCATCAAATTAGCCCACTACTCTAATTCCTAGTCATTTAAATTCCTTCAAAATTGCACATCCCAAATCCAGCCCGAAGAGCTATATTCCCCAAATTCGAATAATTTGCCCATTTTATTAGTGGAAATAGAAAACAATCTAGGGAAAATGAGCAAAAGAGGATAATCCAAAACCCAATTATCATGCCAAAACTAGATTAATCTTCCATCTCCTACTCGAAAACTGCACAAACTTATAAACTTGGAACCAAAAGTGTCCTCTGCAAAGTGATTATTAATCATAGATCTCCAAATCCAAGAGACTTTTTGAGGGATTTTACTGTCAAACAATAACAGAGAAGAATCCATATTATATTTCGAACAAATAAATGCCCTCCAAATAGACTCCCTTTCATTGGCATACCTCCAGGACCATTTTTAAAGAAATGCTCTATTCATGAAATTTATATTAAGAACACCTAAACACCCCTCAATCTTTGGTTTGCTCACATTCGACCAAGAAACCCAATGAATTTTATTTTTACCATTTCCTCCTCCCCATAAGAAATTGGACATAATTGAGTTGAGAGTTTTAAGAACTGAAGCTGGTAACTTAAATAAAGATAAATAATAGGTAGGAAGCGAACATAGAACCGACTTGACCAATACCAATCTTCCTGCTAAAGAAAGGGAAGAAGCCTTCCACCCAGATAATTTTCTGGTAAAATTATTAACCATTGGATTCCATAGAGCTACTGAATTCCTATTAGCTCCCAAAGGAAGCCCTAGATAGTTAGAGGGAAAACTACCAACTGAACAACCGATAGTGTTCGCCCAATCCTGAACTTCCTCCTCATTCAAATTAACACCAAACAGTTTACTTTTCTTCATGTTAAGCTGTAAACCTGAAATTACTTGAAACGCATGAAACACCCTCTTCACATTTAAAATATGCATTTTAGATGCACCATAAAATATAATGAGATAATCCGTAAACTGTAAATGAGATAAAGTGAATGAGCCTTCATTTCTGCCAAGAACTAGCCCAGAAAACAGCCCCTGATCAATAACCTTTAAAATCAGCAAATTGAGAAGTTCTCCAATAAAATTAAACAATAAAGGGGATAAAGAGCATCCCTGTCTAAGTCCCTTTGCCAATGGGATTTCCTTATAAGGAACTCCATTAACTAAAACCGAAACAGAAGTTGTGGAAACACATTTTCTAATCCAACCTCTCCACCTGGGACCAAATCCCATTTTCTCCATAACAAGAAACAAAATATCCCAATCAACCAAATCATATTTGTAATATCCCAAATAACGGGTTAGTGACTAAATTGTAAAAATTCAGAATTTGGTGATTAAAGTAGAATAATTAAATAGTTTAAAAATAATTGTTAGTAAATGTGAAATGAATTAAAGGACAAACTGGACATTTGCAAGGAAAATTTATAATTAAGAATTTTGATGGGGTTATATTATAACCCACATGGGGCTTGAGTAAGAAACAAATGTTTCCAGATTTCTCTCATCTCTTCTTCCTTCTTTCTTATCTTCTTCACTCTTCTCTTCTTCCAAACGTGAATACCCAAGCTTAAGGTAAGAATCAGAACCTTGGTCGTTTCTTTGATTTTTAGATTGGAAATTGAAGTTTGGATGTTATATAAGCTAAAGGAAAGCTTATATGACATTAAGACAACAAGATAAGTGTTTTAGAGATAGATTTGGAAAATGGGTTTTTAGATGAAATTTTGATATGGATGAGTTTTTGAAGTTAGAATAAGATTTTTGACTTGTCAAGAAGTTAATTAAGGAATATGGAGTGTTAGAATTGGATTTAAAACATGTTGAAAATTGGGTATGATTTTTAGCTTTGAGAATTTGAATGAAGCATGGGAGATTTTAAAGTATTGGAATTGATAGAAGTTAATTAAAATGGTTGTAGTTAAGTTTGGTGGTATGAAAGGAACATTGTCTGAGAAATTTAGTGAAGAGTTGATGATCTTCGGGTTTGAACAGTAAAATTTCAGATTATGCAGAGGGAACCGATACCCCCTGGGGGAATCGATTCCCCCTAAAAGAAAATGTTGAAGTTTGGTTTATTAAATTAGTTTAAGTTGTTAGTATCAAATTACAAGGGTTAGGCTTCTGATAAATATCTTGAAAATTATGTTTATGTAGATATAAAACGTAATTCTATTCCGGAACAATCGAAGAGTTAGGATTGAAACAACGAAAGCGAGGCCAAGGTGAGTGCCTATTTTAAGGGTAGTACAATGGAATAAGACTTGTGATAAGTCTAATCCTATGTTGATTTTTATAGAACAATAGTTATGAACATGCATACATGATAATTATTATGATATATGCATAAGGTATATATGCTCATATGATTTGATAAATGATATATGTGAATAAATTCAAATGTATATGTGATATGATAAGTGACATGAGCACATGAACATATGAAATATAAGAATGATGCCCATAGTATACGATATGAGAGCTATAGGTATAGTTGGCATGCCAATAGTCGAGGGTTTCATAGGTCCTTCGGGACAACTCATAGGTCCTTCGGGACATATTCACAGGTCCTTCGGGAAAAATTTCATATGCCACTCAGTGGGACTTATACGAGCTGTGGTGACAGCAATAGTGCACAACCTCAATATAATCGAATACCTTGAGTTCTCAGTAATGTACATGGGCTTATAGAATGTTATCAAAGGTAATTGCATTATTATTGTTATATGTTATATCATTGAATGGATAGATCACATGTTCATATTTATAAGGAATACATCATCATTATATTTATATACCTCACTAAGTCTATGACTTAGTGTGTAAGTGATTTACACGTAGGTACATAAAAGTAAGAAGATCGATCTTAAGAGCAGCAACGCAGCATACCATCATTAGGGGATCAAATCAGAAGTAAATAACAAAGTATGTATTTTAGTTGTATAAAGTATGTTGGCATGTAATAAGTTGTTAGTTACGAACACTCTGATCGACTTTTCTAATGTTTTTAAATGTAATTATGTAAGTGTATAGTAATGAACGGATGAATTTTTATGAATTTTATGTACATTTTTACGGAAGTACTGTAGCAGTACTGTAGTAGCACTGTAGTGGTACTGTAGCAAGGGAATCGTTTCCCTGTAGCAGGGGAATCGATTCCCTATTTGTAAACTGGAAAATTTAACATTTCGGGTACTGTAGCAGGTTACTGTTCACGGTGTTGTAGTAGATTATTGTTTATATGTATTTTATTGTTCGCAAATACATTTTTTTTTACCTCAAAATTTTATACTGAATATAATTTTAATAATATATTATCTTATTTTCCTAAAATAAGTTCAAATATTTTGTTATTTTATAAGGAAAATTATTTTAAAATGGTAATGTCACATCTCGGACTCGTACTCGGGTTGGGTACGGGTTACGGGTGTTACATTTAATGGTATCAGAGCAAGGTTTAGTCGATTCTCGGCATAAACCGGAGTCTATAGTGTTTATAATGTATACATACCAACAAAATAGTGAAAACTTCTGATCTGATCTGGTATGGTAATGAGTATGTTGTTTTGCTAATAGAATGATATGTTTATTTTTAATAGATGTCCGGACATGATAGTTCTCGAAGTCAAGAGGGAGATGATCAACCCGCTGAAAGTAGTAATTCACCTGCCCTGGCCAGGCAAGGTGAAGAACAGACACCTTCTAGAGTGCATGTAGCTGATCAAGATATGTTCTTTAGAACGTTAGATGCAGTATTGACGCGTTTCCAACCTCCTATTACTTCAACTCCAAAAATGAATGTTGCAAAGGAGTTGAAGGGTTTAGGAGCTCCAGAGTTTAAAGGTGAAGCCGAGGAAGGTCCTGTTGCTGCGTACCTTTGGCTTAATGATGTGAAAATTATGTTAGAAGGACTCCACTATTCTGATGTGGAAAAATTGGATGGGGTGGTCTCTTTGCTTCGTGGACAAGCGAGAATTTGGTAGATAAATGTCACTTTGAGGATGACCAGTGATCAAGTGACATGGTCTCTGTTCCTGAAAGAGTTTTGGCATAAGTATATAGGAGACCAATTCATCAAGAAAATGAAGCAAGAATTTTTAAATTTGAAACAAATGAATCGCACTGTATATGAGTATGAGTGCGAATTTAATAAGTTAAGTCGCTTTGCAGCAGAGTTGGTGCCTACAGAGAAATATTCATGTGAGTGGTTTGTTGAGGGCTTGCGTCCAAGGCTAAAAGAAATGTTGATTGTATTGAATCTGTCCTCATTGCAAGAAGTAGTAAATCGTGCTAAAGCTCTAGAGAGAGCGCATAATGAACGGTTTGGGGAGCAGAGAGCTCTACCATCCAAAAGAACTGGAGCTTCATCAAGCTCTACACTACCAAAGAGAGGTAGAGATTTTGGTTTTTGATATCAAACAAGATCTGAATCAGTGGCATCCTCTGGTAGAGGATCGAATCAGGAAAGAGCTAGACGAACTCAATCTGTGGGGACTGGTGATGGGCGAGCACAACAGAGTCAAGTTGGGCAGTGTCAGATCTGTGGAAGAAACCATAGTGGAATATGCAGAGTTAAAACAAGAGCTTGTTTTCGATGTGGGGAAACATGACATTTTATGAGAGACTGTCCTTTGAGGGTAGAAGAGTCTGTTCCACAGGAGAGGTCTGCTTTAATGTCCCAGAGGGGACGGGGTAGAGGAAGAGGTAGAACTCAACATAAATCCTCTACTCAGCAAGAAGTTCGCTCTACTGCTCGGGTGTATAATCTCAAAACCAATGAAGACCGGGATGATCCAGAGATAATAACAGGTACCTTTTCACTGTTTGATAAACATGTTATGGTATTGATTGATCCGGGGTCTACATACTCATACATTAGTAGCAAGTTAGTTAGAGAACTGAACATTCCGCTAGAAGCCACTAATAATGAAGTAATAGTGACAAATCCATTAGGGCATAGTGCTAGTGTGAATTTGGTATATCGAGGATGTCCCATACGGATTCAGGAAATTGAATTCCCTGCTAATTTGATGGAATTACCCTTCGATGAATTTGAAGTGATACTGGGAATGGATTGGTTATTTCGTTATTATGGGAATGTGGATTGTAGATTGAAAAGAGTAACGTTGAAAAGTCCGGAAGGGGTAGAAGTCGTGGTGTTTAGTGAAGGGTGGAATCCATTGGCAAATGTAATTTCCGCGATAACGACAAAGAAGTTACTGCTACAGGGATGTCAAGGGTTCATTGCTAATGTGTTGGATATTAGAACCAAGGAGAAAAGAATTGAAGAAATTCCTATAGTCACAGAGTTTCCCGATATATTTCCTGCAGAATTACCAGGTTTGCCTCCAAACAGAGAGGTAGAATTCCAGATTGAAATAATGCCTGGAACTGCGCCTATTACTATGGCTCCATACAGAATGGCTCCAAAAGAATTGCAAGAATTAAAGATACAGTTAAAGGAGTTGTTAGATAAAGGATTTATAAGACCAAGTGTCTCACCGTGGGGAGCTCCGATGTTGTTCGTCAAAAAGAAGAATGGATCAATGCGTCTTTGCATTGATTATAGACAGCTTAATAAGGTGACCATCAAGAACAAATATCCACTTCCCCGAATTGACGATCTGTTTGATCAATTAAAAGGAGCTTCAGTGTTCTCGAAAATTGATTTACGTTCTGGTTATCATCAATTAAAGATTCAAGACAAAGATATCCCAAAGACGGCATTTAGAACGAGATATGGTCACTATGAGTTTATTGTGATGCCGTTTGGAGTTACTAATGCACCAGCTGCTTTCATGGATCTCATGAACAGAATATTCCAACCCTATTTGGATCAATTTGTGGTGGTATTTATTGACGATATTCTCGCGTATTCAAAGTCCAAAGAAGAACATAGTTCACACTTGAAGAAGGTGTTACAGATTTTGAGAGAAAAGAAGCTTTATGCCAAACTCTCCAAATGTGAATTCTGGTTGAAGGAAGTGACTTTCCTTGGACATGTGATTTCTGCAGAAGGAATTCGAGTGGATCCCCAAAAGATTAAAGCTATTTTAGAATGGGAAGTTCCAAAGAATATGTTAGAAGTCTGGAGTTTTTTGGGGTTAGCTAGTTATTACCGAAGATTCGTTAAAAACTTTTCGATAATAGCATTACCCCTAACCAAGTTATTGAGGAAAGAGGTAAAATTTGCTTGGACTCCAGAATGTCAGGAAAGTTTTGAAAATTTAAAG